AGACTGGGCGGGGGGGGGGGGGGCTCGGGGGTGTGGACACAAAAATGGGACAGACAGACAGACAGACAGACACACTATCCTTTTCTCTAATTCCAGTCAATGCCTATAAGACAAAAGACACATGTTTGAGACCCCAGGACCAAGGGCCCTCTTCCCCTGGAAAAATACATAATTCCACAGGCCCCAAATTGAACCCTGTCTCTGTTCCCCACCCCCCATGCCATCTGTTCCTTTTCCTGTGTTCCCTGTCTTAGTAACAGCACTGCCACCCACCCAGTTGCTCAAGCCAGAAACCTGCAGCCACCCCCTCCAACTCCTCCTCTTGCACCCACATCCAGGCAGCACTCAGTCCTGGGAGTTCACATGCAGGCCGGGCACAGATTCTGGAGGTCTCCTGGTGGCTAACCAGTGCCAGAATCCAGTGCCTGCATTTGGACCCTGGCTTGGCTCCTGGCTGGGTGATCCTGGGCAAATTCCTTAACATCACTGCCTCCAATTGTCCTAAGCCCCCAGAGGCCCGGCAGGGTGGTGCACACCTGATGTCCTAGCCCTTGGGAGGTGGAGGCAAGAGAATAGAGTTCAAGGTCAGCCTCGGCTATGGGAGACTGCTTCTCAAAATAAAGGAAAAAAAAAAAAATACAAATTAGAACCTCTAGGGCTGGGGGTTTGTTTACAGGAACCAGAACAGTCAGTTTCTCTCCCGGTGATCAGCTCCAGGACTCACGAGACTACACACAGATGAGTGAAAGCATCAGGAAACACAGACCAAGACTAACAGAAGGTAGAACCAATCCGTGGGGACACTAATTGTCTCTGCCCTCTCCACAGCTAGGCTAGGAAGCCGGTGGGAGGAGGGGTGTGTACTGGGGACAGTTGTGAGGGCTGCTGGGGGAGGGTTAGGAAGGTGGTTCAAGGTTTAAAAATTCCTCTAGCTGTACTTGTGTGTGTGTGTGTGTGTATTTATTTCATGTAGGTCACTATCAATCAAGATTTGGACTGATGGTATAGCTCCATGGTGTAGTGTTTGTGCAAAGCCCTGAGTTGGCTTCTCCTCACACACATGCTGAGTTTATTAGCTGTTCCATGTCTCTGCCCCCCACCTGCTCCCACCGTGTCTCCCCCGAGCCGCCCTACCCCCTCCCACCCCACAGCCTGAATGACAGAGAGCAAAAACACCACCTTGCAGACCCCACACTGAGCAGCACTTTGTAGCCCCCACACGGCCATGTCCCTACTACCCTCCTTGGCACAGACTGGGACAGTCCAGTGTTATGTCCTCCCAGACATCATGGCTTCAATCTATAAAGTGCCAGATGAGGCAGGAGAATTGCCTGGAGTTTCAGGCCAACCTGATTTGTAAATCAGGTTTTACTCTGTAGAGTAAAAACCCCTCCCCCAAAAAGGCATCTCCAAAGAGACCTCAAAAGCTCCCCACACTTCTGCCTTTTTGGGTTCTGCTATGGACAGAACGCTTTCCAACAAAACTATCCCTCAACTGAAAATTAATCTCCAATGCAATGAATGACCTCCGAAGCAAGAGCTTTGGGAATAATTGCATCTTGAATGAGAAGGGTCTCATGTAGCCCAAGAGGGCCTCAATTCCTGATCTTCCTATGTTCTACCCCCCAAGTGCTGTGATGACAAACATATGCTACCGCATTATCTATGCCTCTGAGGGCCAGGGGCATAGCTCAGTAGACTGGCATGCTTGAAACCCTGGGGGTTCAACTCCTTCAAGAGGTGTGAATGGTCAGAGGGCAGTTAAGAGCACTATTCCAAAAGTCCTGAATTCTCAGCACCCACACAGTGGTTCACAACCCTCTGTAACTCCAGTTTCAGGGAGACCTGACACCCCTTTTGGCTTTCAAAGGCACTAGGCATGTACACGTCACAGAGATGTACATGCAGGCAAAACATTCATACACATAAATTAAAAATTATTTTTAACGAAGAGGGGAAACTAGAGGACCTGTCCCCTCTACCACAAGGAAACAAGCAAGACAGTGCCCATCTACAAACCAGGAAGGGGGCTTCACCAGGTTGGGGGGGGGGTCTTGATTTTGGATGCTCCAACCTCCAGAAACAGAAACATGTCTTTTGTTTAAGCGACCCTGAGTGGCTGAAATGGGTTTTCCTCAGCACTCTCCTTATCTAACCACAGTGTAACGGCCTTCCTCACACCAAGCTAGGCTACCTCTGCCCAGACATAGTAAACCTGGCTCCAAATAAGCGGTCAGGATAGCCCCACAGAGACGGTCCTATGCCTAGGGGTCTCAATGTGGCCTTCCCTGCTCCTGAAAGCTAATGTCAGGAGGGGACACATGCCCATCCCCCTCCCACCCCAGCCTAGGTCAGAACTCTGTTCAAAGGTGGCTTTGAGGACAGGAGAGGGAAGCTCGCTCAGGCTGCAGGCAAGTGTGAGATGGCATCTCAGAGGCTCCCGTTGTTCCCCAAGAGTAAACAGACAGATGTCAGGGAGGGAGGTGCAGACTGAACAGGGATCCACAGTCAAGTGTATCCAAGATAAGAACTCAGGCCATAGAGTGCTCGCATCCAGCGCTGTTAACATGCCGGAAAGGCTAGGCTGCACTCCCGGCACCAGCGCTGGACCTCCAGCTGGGTCTGAGGAGCCACCTGGGGGTCCAGAGAGGCTGAAAGACGTCAGGGACAGGAAGACTGCCCAACAGACGAGAAGAGGCCAAGTCATAGAAGGGAATGAAAGATAGCTAAAGAGTCCAAGAAAAGTGCCAGACAGTGAGTCAGGGGGTGGGGGTGGGGCCCGCAGCAGCAGCTTCTCGGGAATCAAGATCCCGCTCCCAGGGTGAGCACGGTCCCGTCCTGGGGACCTGGAGGAAGCTGGCTCAGACAGACACAGCACACTCCCTGAGTGCTGCAGACAGGCCCGGGAATCAAAGGGAACCAGGCTCCTTCCGGGACGGTAGCAGCCTGAGAATCTGGGGCCTCCCCCTTCCTGCCACCACACACAGGCACTGACAGCCCAGAGAACGGAATGTCACCCGGGTCTAGTGACCACAGCCATCTAGCACTCTGAACCCAGGAAAGGCTATTCCACAGGCAACCGAGGGGCAGCTGTGGGCAGTCTCGGCACACCAGTGTGCCCCAGCCCCCAGCCCCCAGCCCCGAGCCGGGGCGGTGCAGGGGAGGGGCAGGCACCTCTAGCTGCCTGGACCCCCCCCTTCCAGGAATCTGAAGAATGTGTCCTTTGACCTCAGAGCCGCAGGTCCTGATCAGTCACGCCCCCACCCACGACACCTTGGGTCAAAGGACCCCAGACCCTCCTGAAGGACTTCCTGGAATATGGGAAAGTCACCTCCTGAGCCGTGGTGGACCTCACGGAAACAAAGTGCAGGGCTGCTCAAGAGCCGGCAGACAGGAAGCACTGACGCGCCCCTCCCCCACCGGTGCCTCAGAAAGTGATCAGGGGGGAGGGGACAGCTCTTTCGATTCAGCCTCTAGGGCCCTGCACTGGGTAAATGCCAAATGTTTGCTGGCTACACGAAATACTTGGTTCTTCTACCCAGGGAGAAAAACCGCACCTGACATAGTTGCTGCTTCCTCTGCCTTAAGCCAGTACTTTCATTCATTCATTCATTCATTCATTCATTCATTCATTCATTCATCAAATTCTTGCTAAGCTTCCAAAAAAAAATTGCCATGCACCATTGGCAGACACTTCGGGCGCCAGGGAAAAGACCTACAACCAATATCTCTCAAGTTGGAGTTACAGGAGGGGGGCAGGATGGGTGCAACTGGGGACCAAGGCAGGTCCCTGTGAAGAGGGGACACTGGCATGGTCCAGGGACTGGAGCAAGGACAGCAAGCGCGCCTTCTGGTGGAGCTGCAGCTAAGAGGGCCTGAGTTAGCCCGAGGGCACAGGAAGCCACCCAAGGGTGTAAAGTAGGGACTGACAATTCCAGATTTGCATGGTTAAAAGATGGCTCAGCATCTCCGCGGGGAGAGGGTGTGACCCGCAGGACACACAGGGCAGGCAGGGCCAGGTGATCTGACAGGACAAGGGCCGAGGAGAACAGGGGGTGGATCCGGTGACAGCGGGAGAGATGGGGGCAGGGAGTGCTGACTTACTCTCTGCAAAAAGGGGCTGGGGCTGGGGCCGGAGGTGTGAGGTGGGCAGCCAGGGCGCAGGGACGCATTCTCGGGGTGTCAGGAATGTGGGCTACGGCCTGGGAGTGACTGCACCGGCAACCCGAGTGACTAAGTGCGCGGCTGCTGCCGCGGTGTGGGCATTTCTGCAGGACGTGAAGGGGCGAAGTGGCCCCCGGGGAGATGCTCGCACGGGAGCGAGGAGGAGAGCGTGGGAGAGAGCCTACGTGTGC